CAAAGGACAACAAGAAGCCTCAGTTTTGTGAACAGGTCTCAATCAGGGCTCCTTAACTGAATTAGGGGCATAGTTCTCCACTTTGTGTTGAGCATGTGCACACCTTGATGGAATACACATCTGAACCCACATCTTGAAGAGCAATAATTACAGTACAGGTAAGTAATCAGTTTTTTCTGCCTACCACAAAATTTAAGAGAGTAATCTTTCTGTATGTTCTATCCTTCCTGTTTCATAAAAAGAAGTACTGTTTTTGGAATGTTTGGGGTTATTTACTTTGTGTTTTAGGTCAATGACATCTATGTTGCCACAATCTTTTTTAAATAGTGGTGCAGTATTATCTAGGTAATAAAGTAACTTCAAATTCTGAAGCTAAAAGTAGGACAAAAATTAATTGTATTGCTCTTAGACAACTGGATTTGTTTTGCTTTGAAGTCTTTTATTTCAATTTCAGATACTTAGTATTTGGTAGAGATTCTTTAGGCAGTGTGCAAACCCAGATCTCCCCCCAAAACACCTAATCACAGGTAATTTAGACCTTATTCATAACACCTAATTCACATTTTTATTCTGCCTTGCATTAACTCTCTATTATTTTGCCTGCAACAGAGAAAGTAAATACAGCTGTCAAAAATGAAGACTATACTATTGTCTTCACTTATTAACTAAATAAATGATACTCAGTGTGTTTTATTTTTTCTGTGCTTTGTTGCTAATATTGTATGTAGATGATTTGTTCACTTCTGGTAAATTATTCTGACAGCAGCAGTGGAGCAAAAAGGGAAAATGTGAGTAGAAATGTAGCTATGATAAAATTTTAAAAGGAACCTTTATGGGTGATAAGGAATTTCAGTATGAACTGGTAGAAGGGAAGCCATTCAGGAAATTCCAAGCATAGGATGAGGTGTTCAGCATGGTGGGAGATTATTATTTTTGCAGTAGAATTTGGGGCATGCTGGCTGAGAGAGAAATGAGAGGTCTAAGGCAAGACAAGAAGGTTACAATAATCAAGGAGATAATGATAAGGATATGAAGAATAGTTTTAGCAATGAGGAAGGGACAGACTTTGGAACTATTAAGATGGAATATGTGGCAAGATTTAGTGATATGATTGGATATAGGAAAATAGGGAGAGAAGGAGAGAGAAGTAAAATGTAATACCAAGACTACAAGCTTGTAAGACTTCTTCAAGATACTTCCCTATTGATTCCCTAATATACACTCATTGTCCCTCACCAGTTGATTAAAAAATGTAGTTGCTGATCTCGTCTTCCTTGTTTGATGAACAGATCCTGATACTCCCTTCTTTGAATCTCTCCAGTGATTCCCCATCTGGCGTTGTTTGAAGTTTAAGCTCTGTGGGTTTATAATAATCAGCCTAGCCCTACTTATAATTTGCTTGTCAACTTTTGTGTCACCTCCATGAACATTACTATGTTTTTTCACGTCTGTCAGTCTCTCAAACAATCACTTCTATGGCTTTCTTCACACAACCTTCTGTACATGACTTGACTGGTCTGAACTTGCCTGCAAGGCCCATATACCATCCACTTTTAAGTCTCACATAAAAATCCACTCCTAATAGGTTGCCTGTAATGAATCTCATTGATATTTAATGATATTCTTTTTATTATTTCTCTTCTCTGAATGCTGTCTATCAGCCATCCATCCCTACTTGCTGAGGGGCAGGAATCATCTATTGCTGAATGTTTGGAAAGTGCCCACTTCTCCGTAGTTTCTAATACAAACGAGAACTGCAGAATTTTGTTTTCCAAAACTCTCTGTGCTAATGAACTATACCTACATGTCACTAATAACTGTTTATTCACCCCTTATAAAGTTCTGATAGATTAATGGTTTTAACCGGTTATAGAATTTATAGTTAGCTAAGTAACATATTACTCTGTCCTTAATTACACTTTTAACTAGGACAGTATTTGCAAAGTTCCCATTGATAGACATAGCTGAAGTTTAGCGAGAGTGTTATGTATTTTGGGGTGATGTGCTCAGTAGTAGCCTCCTCAGAGGTTTGCATTCATTAGGTTGTCCTATCTCCTCTCTCTGTTGATGTCACATCCTATTTCCACATTAAAAATATCATATAAGATAGTGCTGACTTGGAAGTGCAGGTGGAGCAAATATGTTTTACTTAAATAGCCCATTTAAGCTCCAGGGATTGTTCAAAGTTGGAGTCTCCAGAGAGGGCATATGGTGGAGGGGGATCAGGTGATTACATGTTATAATGCTTTTGACTCAGCTCGGAGAAAATGAGAATTGAAGTAAGGACTGAAGTGAAGTGTTTCTTTGGGGACCGGTGAGGTCTAGCAGTGGACAGGAAAGGCTTCCCAGGAGGAAGGGTGTAACTTCCATCCCCTTCTGTTCCCGCCCCTCCCAGTATGTTGCAGTCTGGAAATGCCTCTATTGGCTGGGACCGAGTGCTTTTTGAGTTGCTTTGCTCTTGTGTTGAATGACCAGTATTGTCAACCTCAAGAGATCAAAAATCACGAGACAGATCCCCAAAAAAATCACAAGAATGGTCCCACAAATCATCAGCTGTTAAAAACATAAAACAATGGGTTTTACTCTGTCTTCTGACTTTTTGTCTCCCCTCTATTCCTCTGGCTATGTGTTGTGTGATAATTTCAGAGCAAGAAGTCAACATCTAATACACACAAAATGCATGCTTTTACCTTCCCTCAGCCTGTGCTTGCTATTCTCACACCTGTGACCCAATGATACCACACTCTCCATTTCATCTTCATATGTCTAATACAGTCTAGTCTAGTTTTGCTCACAAAACACCTACAAAATCCTTTCATTTATGGATGACAGCAAAATACCTTCCTCCTGAAACGAGGAGGAGGAATCCTCATATTGCCTAAACATTTTAATTGGCATAGTATGAACTCCCTCATTTAGTAGCTATAGGTTTTATTTGGTGCCAAAAAAGGATATTTCTTAATAAAGTAAAAGGGAAACATCTGTTTACCTAACTCAGAGAAGCTGGTTAATGAAGGACACAATACAAATTCAGTTATTTATGTCTAAAATCTGACTTCTTGGGACACATTGGGTTTCCTTGATGTAAGTAACAGGACGCTTTGATCCCCTGATTTTTGAAGTGCAGCACTTCTAATGTTTTATAGAACACTGGAATGTCTATAGCAATGTGAAAAGTTTATTTTGTTCCCCAAACATTTCCCAAGGAAATAATAAATATAGAATTTAGGCAGAATTTGTACCAACTTCTAGAACATCAAAATTGAGATGAGTCTAAATTTGTGCATATCTTCGGAGCACTTAGCACGTGTTCAGCAACTTGTTTTCATTCTCAAGGGGAGGAATACAAAGCATATAGAAACAACTTAGTATTATATGTGTGTTGATTCTGGATAGTACTAGTGTGGATACTAGTGCAACATATTTAACATCCATGTCCCATATCGGGGGAAAATATTTATGGTGTTTTGTGTTAATGGTGTTACAGTAAAATACTGACTTGCATTTATTCTTGAATATATTAAAAATTGGGAGATTATCAAAAAGACAATTGTATAAATTCTCTCCTTTTTATTACCTGAATTTGATGAAGGAAAGTACATTTCCATTAAAATGTAACAATTTCTTCCAGTGCTTAATTTATAATGAAAGAGGTTCTATGGCTCAAGCAATTAGGTGTGAGGGGCTAAAGCAATTTTTTTTCTTTCATAACTGAAGTGTAGGGGGGATATGAATTGCCAAGACTTGTCACAGATTAGACACTGTTAGGTATAGCATTCAAACCAAACATTTTAAAGAAAACTGGGGGCTGCAAGCAACCTCAGGATTCTTTGGGAGATCCAGTTAATCAAACTACCACTCCCATCCCATTGAAAGCCTATCAGGAAAATGAACAGAGCCCTGCATGGATGCAACATTTATATCTGTATCTGCAGCTGTAAACATGATCCGGGGATATCCTCATCCACATCCGCAGATGCGAACATCCATGGATATAAAGTGGATAGCCACAAATTTACAGGAGCCTAACTATAAAATTTGTATCTGCCTCCATATCCTCAAAAATGAAGAGTAGATAGCCACTTCCACATTCGTGGATGCATATACCTACAGATATCTGCAGATTTGCAGGGTTCTGAAAATGAGGGCAAAGGAACCTCCAAAAGGGCATGGTAGCAATCGGAAGGCTTAAGGCTCTCCCAATGATCAGTGTCAGGGTAGACAAAGCCCCATTCTTCTGTGCCTCTTCTGGTGGGCCTGGGAAACGGACTCTTAAACAGGAAGCATTTTTAGTATGTACATGTTTTTGTTTTGTTTTTCTTATATGTAGTAGAAAAACTGTCTTCATGTGTCAATTTTCTTCTTTTCCACCTTAATGTAGCTGTTGTTTGTGTACTAATATTACTGATTGTTTCTTGTTTCAGCTATTTGTACAAGAATGAAATCCAGTCAATTGACAGGCAAGCATTTAAAGGACTTGCCTCTCTAGAACAACTGTAAGTGCCTCTCTCTTCTGTGCTGTCATCCGCTTGGTTACCTTTCAGAGGAAAAGTGCACGTCCTGATCAGTATTTTTTGCCTGCATGCCTTGCACGTCTGCCCTAAATGGGATATTAGTCAGATGTTCTTGTAATCATTTGCATGTGAAAAAACAAAAATTGATCTCTGTGTCAAATTGTTTATTTGTATGTTTGTCTTTTATTTGTGATTTACTTGTTCCAAGTGTTCCAGTGCACTATGTAGGAGACTTGGAGAAGAAGCATGATCAGAGACCAATATTGAAAAGAGTGTGCATTCATTAGTGATTCAAGATCTGATTCTGCTTTCACCTACATTGGTTTTACAGTGCTGGTACTCTTTTTAGCTCCCCTGGAATTGCTCTCGTTTTATACTAGTGTAAATGAAAGTTTGAATCACGCTCTTCAACATACTTCAGCATTTTTATCTTTCATTTAAAAACCTTTTAAATAAAAATATGAATACTTTTGATGCACGTGTGGGCTGTATATTGGGGGAGACAGAGGGTGGAAATAGGAGCGGTATTCTCTTTGTCTCTAATGTGGAAAGTACTACAATTAGTTGTATAACCTGTTGCTTTCTTACTAAGTTTCAAGTGAAGATGAATTTGATTTGAAAATGAAGGGAAGTAGTATGATTAGAAAGAAATTTATTATTTCACCTATGTTTGTTTATTCACCATTTACTTAATCAGAAAACAGTTCACTGCAACACAATAATTCAAGTAGTACTTGGACTATTGGAAACAGCGATAGCCAGATGGATAATATTGCGTTTCTGTCTGCAACGTTCTAAAGTCTTAAGGTTCCATTAATCTTGCAAAGGATTTTTGATTCACAGGGTGAATTTCATTGAGAATGAATTCCTGAAAAGGGAGTCGTCTTTCCTAAAGGAAAGAACTGGATCCAGGCAAGCTGGGGAGCAGGGCCTTAGGTTCCCCATCCCTGCCATATGGGACAGAAGAGACTTAGAACTTAATTTGACAGTTTCAGTTTTACTTGTTAAAGTGTGGAGTGACATCTAACGTCCCACTTCACTTGGATTATGTTTGTTACCCCTGGCTGTAAATATAATGTAGTTGTTCTTTTGAACAGTCTCCCAGTTCTAGAAATGATATAATTCTGTTAAATGTATATGCTAATATTGCATATCATTTCATACCGTTTATTTGTATATATTAAAAAGAATGGTAAGCATTGTTATTCTCCATTTACAAATGTGGAAACTGAGGGTATGTCTACACTAGCCCCCTAGTTTGATCTAGGGAGGCTAATGAGGGTGACCGAAATTGCAAATGAAGCGCAGAATTTAAATATCCTCCTGCAATGAGGTTTACCAGCTAATTCAATTTAGGGCTTTAATTCGGAATCCCATTTCACTGCCACGTGTAGACAGTTAATTTCTAAAATGGAACATGCTAATGAACCAGCCGGGAACATGCTAATGAAGCACGGGATATTTAAATTCCGTGCTTCATTTGCAATTTCAGTCGCCCTCATTAGCCTCCCTAGATCGAACTAGGGGACTAGTGTGGACATACCCTGAGATATGAAATGGTTTGCCAAAGGTTAACACATTAGGGCAATGACAGAGCTTGGAAATCCAGTCAAAGTCTTCTGACCAGTCTAGTGCAGTAGTGGGCAACCAGCCCATCAGAGTTATCTGATTTCACTGATATTGACTATCCACAGGCACTGCCCCCAAAAATTCCTTGTGGCTGTGGCCCAGCGGCTGCATTTCTTTGTTTCTGGCCAGGGGTAACTGTGGAGGCAGTGTCTGCAGATGTAAGGACTGCTGGGACATGTTGGCCACTGCTTGCCACAGTTCCCATTGTCTAGGAACAGAGAAGTGCAGCCACTGGGAGCTGCAGGGGGCGGTGCCTGCAGATGGACAACATTAGCAAAATGTCTTCACGTGTGACCTGTGGGCTGGAGGTTGCCCAACACTGGTCTAGTGCCATATCCACAATTCTGTGATATTTCACTATATTAAGAGTAATACAGGTTATTAGTTTCTTTAGTTATTAAAATAATTCATTTCTAAGTTTATTGACTACACCAAATTTTCTGTTCTAATACACAGTGCCACTCCTTCTGAGGTCTGAGAATTATATGTTGAAAGAAAAAATTTGGTTCATAATATTTGTTTAGCATTCACACAGAATGAAACTGGAAGGTTTTGTGTGTATTTATTTTACTGTTATTCCAGTCAATTAGAATTTATATATTTATACATTTCAATTGAATAGAGTAATGGAAGGTTTTGTTTGATCCTTACCTGAGTTTTCTTAAGTTATAATGTTGAGAGAGAAACCACAAGTGTAATTTGCTTCAAGGGACACAATTACATATGCAGAAACACAAGTATATCAACATTATAGTTCGCCCCCCATTGTTATCCTCTGGTAGGATTCCACTTTTCCCATAAGCTTTATGGCAGGGATGAGGAAGTTCCAGCCCTCGGACTGCATTTGATTTATCAAGGTGGGCCTCTAGACGCTTTGTTCGTGACAAGTGTGGTTCACTATTCCCAGTTAGTGGAAGCTGCAGGAAGTAGTGGCCAGGACTGTGCTATTTCCTTAAGTTCCCATTGACCAGGAATGGCAAACTGCAGCCACTAGGAGCTGCAAACAGTATCCAACAAAGTATCCAGCAGCCCACCAGCGATTAACCCTGCCGAACCACATGTGGGCGGCATGCTAGAGATCTCCCACCGCTGCTTTATGGCATCATCATCTCCTAATGACTTATTAGAAACCCCCCACTCACCCTCTGTGTTCAGCAATTGGAGTAGCACCTCTAGACCAGATTCTTATCTTCTTTGTACCAGCATAATTTTAGAGTGACACCACTGAAAAATCAAGTCAAATATATGTAGTACCTGAATATTAATTTAATCATAGCAAATTGCAGGTGCCACATATACTTAATTCGATGGATACCAGATATTTTTTTAGATCTGGTCACAGAAGCTGAACCATAATTAAAGTGAAATTCTTAGCGCTTGTATGTATAATGTCCTATGATCTCTTCCCCATGTTTTTCTTCCAAAGTAGCTAACATATTATAAAGTATCTTTCACACAAAGAGAACAAAACCTTTTTCTGCAAAATCCTTGACTACTCTTCCTCTCCAAAATGCTCCCTTTTTATTATATGTTTGTACAGCATCTAGCATAATGGATCCTTGATTGGGGCCTCTATGAATAAGACTCCTAGATGTTGCAGGAATAATAAATAAATAAATAAATAAATAAAAAATATTCACTAGCACCATACCTACAGTAAATAATAGTAGTAGAAGGGAGCATTTTTCAAAACAAACAGATATTTGTTGGATCATTTTTGAGTAAACTGCTCATAATGACCTTTTGGATAGTCAGTGAAATATTATTTACTGACATACTTAAACAACAAGGAGTCCTGTGGCACTGTAAAGACTAACAAATTTATTTGGGCATAAGCTTTTGTGGGTAAAAACCACTTTGTCAGATTCAAAAGTCTTTTAAAAGGTAACACAGAACTTCTCGTTGTTTTTGCAGAAACAGACTAACACTACCCCTCTTGAAATCAATACATAGTTGGAACTCACTTTATGGATTTTAAATGCTTTCCCCTCCAAAGATCGGGAGGTTTTATTAGACAAGAAAAATTGTACAAACTATAAGTACAAACTCATTTCCCATTGTAGAGTGCATCCACCATATAGCTGTTCATTGTAGCCAACATGGTCTCATGTCCATTATGTGTGAATGGCTGTACACAAAGTATTTTAAGTGAGAAGATGAAGAGAAGCAATCTCACTCTCTCAGTTGCTAAAGCCAGACTAATGGAATGCAAGGTTGAGACAACTGGGAACTTTGTTAGCTGTAGTGAATAGTGATTGACATCTTTGTGCCTTATCTGGCCTTACACATTCTACACAATGTTGCTGAAGTGCCTTTTCCAGCTGTTGGAGCAAAAGGTCTTCTCTGCTTTGTCCACTAAAGCAGAAATTACTATGCTAGGGAGTAGGGACTGGCATTTTCCATCCCCGTGGGTATTTCCATAAGGCAATTCTTAACCCGGGTTAGCCCACCCACCAAAGGTGTGTCAGAGCTGGGCACAAAGGGAGGATCAATGAAAGCGAACCATTTGATGATGTGGCTTCTTTGGGTATCAGAGGCACTGCCATACTGCCTAGTGCTGCACCAAGGACATATGGGAAATAATTTTTTTTGTCCAATGGCCTTTATTAGAATGTTTGTTCTATAAAAGTAGATGGGAAAAGAATACATGTATATCTGATGCTGAAGAAAAACTAGTTCAGGTAAAAATGTGTTAGCACAACTGTTCAGAAACTGGTATATGTGATAAAATGATCTTTGTACTTGTGTGGTCATTTAAAAACCTGATGAATAAGCAGAGATGTATAAGTTTCTGGTGAATAAGTCCTGTGAAGCAAGGTAAAAAGAGACAAGGTGAGGTAATAGCTTATGCTAGACCAACTTCTGTTGGTGATTAGGACAATCCCCAGAAGAAATTCTCCACAGGCATGTCTCTAATCCCAATTGTACATATAAAATGAAGTGGTCTAAATTAACTGTTACCCCTCAAGAAAGAGCTCTTGAAATCACTGTGGATAGTTCTCTGAACTCATCCACTCCGTATTTAGCAGCAGTCAAAAAAAAAAGGGAACAAAGTAAAGTGTTAGGAATCATTAAGTTTGGGATTGATAAGAAGACACTAAGGCCTGCCCTGTCTTCTGCATAAGAAAAAGCTATTGTTGGCTAGCTGTAATTGCTCCATGTATAAAAATAATTCTGAGTTTCTTCATGATTTACCAGAGAACTTCACAAGCCACATTCATTGGCTGTCTAGTAGATTTTACTTGTCACATTCACTTAGATTTATTGCTTTGGCTGTTTTTCTGATTCCCCTACTGGAACCACTTTCTCTTTCATGATAGCGCTGTGATTGATAGGCCCCTTTTCTGTCAGCAGCCCATCAATACTAGGTTGTTGGGAACTTCTCTGGTTGCTAAACTATTTATGTGGCCCTGTGCTGTGAAAGGGGTAGTTTTTTGTGGGTAATAATGGCTTCTGAGATTATCCCAATTTGTTTTTCCTATCCCTCGTTTCATTTGATTTCCCATGTCTTACCATGTGATAGGCTTTTTGCTCTTTGCTCTGGGGCTGGAATGTGATGAGAGTGTTTCCAAGCAAGAGAGTTTCTGCTCTTGAAGTATCTTCCATCTTTTCACACTGAGGGTTTTTTTAATTTTGGGTGGGGTTTTTTTATGGTTTCATTAATCTCCTACTGAATCATTCACATGGGGGGAGAAAAGTGGGGCAGGCCAAAAAAGGCAAACTTTTAGAAGTCTGACTATGCTTGGATATAATCAGGAGTCAGAGTTCACCAGCATATTAACAAATCATTTCCCAAGCTACAACTATAGCTCTGCTTCCTGTTTATTCATCTGAAAAGTTTGGATAATACATTCAAAATACATGACAAAATTGTTAATACTAATATTCATAAACCAATACGAACCTAAATTTGCAACCCTTGATCATGCAGATTCAGACTTTTCGTAAGTGCCAAGTATTTAAATACAAGGCTTTTGTCTTCCAGGAAGAGCCATTACATACCCTCTATTTGATGTATCTTTTTTTAGTGTTGCAGTTAGCTTCCAATTCATACACTGGACAATAATAACTACAGTAGACTTCTGATAATCCGGAACCTATGGGACCTAGGTGGTGCCGGATTATCAGATATGCCGGACTATCAGGAGGTACTATAAGATGGTTATATATATATACTGTATACATTATATACTGTATATAAAGTGTTCTTAACCCTTTTTATTGTATATACTGCATACAGTATACTGTAATGTTTTAGTTTTTTAAAGCCTTTTTTTACCCTTTTTGTTCAGTTCAGCTGCTGCCGCTGTTAAATTGTGACTCATTTTTTTGCCGAAGCTCACTCACTAGGCTCTTGCCATTTTGATGCCAGACTATCAGGAGTGCCGGACTATTGGATGCCGGACTATTGGAGTTTTACTGTATTGGGTAGATTCTCTAGGAGGGAGATCTGTTCAGTTGGTGATGCAGCACACTTGCACCGATTTTGTGTTTATGAATTTGAGAATAGGCTATTTCTGGTGAGAGGACAAGGAGAGGTCCTATTGTAAATTTAAGTTTTTGAGAGGGAATAAGAGGAAGTTAGAATTGCCACAGCTTTAACTCTCACTGATTTGTCAATGGTATTTTAGTAAAAAGACCTATAGACAGCATCTCTGAAAGGATGCAGTCATTCTGATGCTATTCAAATGGCAGGACACCAAAAATATAGCCATGTACATTATAGGCTGCAAATATTTACAAATAAAGCTAAAACCTTTTCTTACAGAAAATAGTATCATATTCATTTATTCAACCATATAAAATAAATCAAGTTATTTCATGTTGTGGCAGGACTCACTAGAAAAATATGATAATTGCAGGGGAGAAGGACAAAAAATGTACAATCAGTATTTCTCAGTATTCCCCTTTGTTCTAGTGTAAATAAAACACATTATGCATATTAATGGATTGATCCAAACTTGTATAAATGATACTGTTTTTGCATTTCTAATGTTAATTGATAATATCTATTTGAGTTTATGAAAAAATGTTTTTTGGATCTGCGATATTATATTTTTTTTGCAAATACTACCATCTGTCATATTTTACAAGTTCTGTGATACACACAAACTCACTGTCCCATGAGTCCTTGTAAATATTTAGTTTTGACAGAAGATTGTTCAAAGTCTGATTAGTTGAGGCAAGTATCTTGTTGTTATTACCAATATAGTAGCACATTTTAAAACCTTCCTATTATGTGGGACCTCTTTCTTTCATGGAAAAGTGTAGGATCCAAAAGACATCTACAGAAAATTATGCCACTACATCATTAACATGTTGTCATTTTCAGATATGCTCGGCAGCATGAGAAGTCCTTTACACACCAAGTTCCTAGCTGCACAGTACTATTTTCATTAAATAAATTATTTCAGTAATGTTTGTTTAATACATTTACAGGTATCTGCACTTTAATCACATAGAAACATTGGAACCTGAATCATTTACACATCTTCCAAAACTTGAAAGGCTGTAAGTTTTATTTTTGTTTGGAAATTTAATAAGATGTAGTCGTCAACTAGCTGCGTTGTCTGATCCAGATCAATAGTGTAGAAAGTGAGAAAAAACTTTCCGATCTGTAATGTAGCTTTTATTTTGTATTGAAACTTTAATGCTCAGTGAAATTGAGGAGTGAAGTGCTAAGCACTTTTTGGCAAGTGTGGCACACGCTTATCTCCCAGTGACATCTGATTAGGCCCTAGATTAGGGAGACAGTTTAGTAATGCTGTTTTGTGTACAATTTGCAATGTGAAAATGAGTTCAGAACATTTGTAATTGACATTTGTCTATCATAAAATAGATTGCATGAAACATGATACAGAAGGATTACATTTTTTGTAAAAATGGCTCATATGATTACTTCCATCCTCTAGCTGTATGTTACATTTTAGGTAGTTTTTGTCTCCAGTGTAGGCTAAAAATGTTTTTTTTTCCTTAGGTGGAGGAGGAGACAGGGCTATGGAAAACTTAAAAAAAAAAAAAAAGTAGAAGCAGAAAGTTGATTTTAAAAATGTTTATTTGTACATGTGAAATTAGTCTATCTTTAAGGATCTGTAGAAGAATGTATATAGAATGAAGACAATTCAAAATGTGAACTCATACATGAACTTACCTGTGTTTTCAATAGATTTTTGCATAACAACAGAATAGCTCATTTAGTTCCTGGGACATTTAGTCATTTGGAATCTATGAAGAGACTGTAAGTAAATTAAATTTCTATACTAAAAGACCGAAATAGTCTAATTCTGTGGTCACCAACCAGTAGATCGTGATCTACCGGTAGATCTCAGGGGCTCTAAGAGTAGCTCTTGAACCCTCTCTGAACTGCGCACCTGCGCAGTACATTTACATTAGATTTCCTTATGTAATGTGGGCGGGGCAGTAGATCTTCGCCTGTTCTGAAACTTAAAAAGTGATCTTGGGTGTAAAAAGGTTGGAGGCCACTGGATTATACTTATATCTCATCTTATAATATCCACCTCCTTTGGCAGTCTGTTCCACTGTCTAATGGTTTTTACTATTAAATATCCTAGTTTAAACTTTTACTTCCATGGTCTTTATCCTTCAGTCTTTCGTGACTGTGACTAAACCTCTTTCTTGATTTGTTATCTTGAATTTATGTATAGACTATGCCCTGGCCTGCAGCAAGTCTTCTATTTTATAGATTAAATAAATCAAATTCTATAGCCATTCCTCCTTCTGTACATTTTACATTCCTTTTATCCTCTAGTCTAGTATAAGATTTATTGTATTTTCTCTAGTTTGTGTTTTCCAGATCCTTCCTAAACTGTACAGACCAAGTGTAAAATTGTTTAAAGTACTTTAGTGTTTTGGGAACCTAAGGGTACATCTACACAGCAGGGCTAAAGTCGAATTAAGCTACGCAATTCAGCCATGTCAATTGCGTAGCTTAAGTCAAACCAGCTTAATTTGGCTTTTGGCGCCGTCTACACAGAAGGAAGTAGAAGTAAGAACACTCTTCCTTCGACTTCCCCTACTCCTCATGAAATGAGGGTTAGCATGAGTCAGAGTAAGAAGTCCTCCATCTCAACATTATTTCGAAATAATGGCTTTCTGCGTAGACATGCATTTTGTTATTTCGGAATAATGTCAGTTATTCTGAAATAACACTGCTTTGTAGATGTACCCTTAGTGACTTTTTTTTTGAAGTGATCTAGGCACTTTGGTCCAATTCACAAAGGCCCTTAGTCCATTGCAGCATTTAACTTTCAGGTGCTAGCTGCCCAGTGGAATCCACAAACCCTGATTTAGATGCCCAATGAATGAGGAGAGATAGTAGCCTAAGAATGGGTTCCACACAATCAACATGCTAGGTGAGAAGCCTGAGTTAGCCAATATCAGATGCCAGGGAGATCATTGTGTAGTAAGCTCTGGTCTTTTCAGAGCATGTCCTGTAGGCAGGCTCAGTTCTCCCTATAGTTGGGAAATCTCTCCTAGAGTCAGGTGCCTAAGCCATTCCCCTTCAGAATGGACTTGACACGTGCCTAACTATTCAGAATAGCCCAGAGCAGAAAGCTTGTGAGCATTAGTCCAGTGGCTAAGAAACTCATCCAGAATGTGGGAGACCTCAGTTCAGTTCTCCCTCCTGTTTAACAAGAAGAAGGGATTTGAACATGGGTGTCCCCTCTCAGGTGACTGACCTTATATGACGTAGTGGGGGTGCTATCCACTTGCTGGTTGCTATGCTTGGGCTGTGGGTGACCCCTGCTGGCCTGTGTCTGTAAGCACTGCCCAGCGGGGGGTCGCCCTGAGTACCCTCATGTCACATAGTCCATGGCCCAACCGGTTTTTACTTGTCCAGGGAAGGGGTCTGAACAAAGGAAGTGTGTGGCTTGGAGTAGGGGCAGTCTTGGCTGCGAAAACATGAAGAGAACAGACTAAATGGAGTGCTGGGGGTTCAGGGGCCTGTGTACCCCTATCCCAAGGGGTCTAAGGCTGCCAGCTCCTGACTCATATTTCCACATCGCGCCTATGCTGTGCTGTATCCTGGACAAGCAATAAACCCTCTCTATTCTACTGGCTGGCAGAGTCTCACCTTGCTGTAGACGGGGTGCAGAATCGGAGGGTACCTGACGCGTCGCCATACCTTCCCTATTGGACTATGGGTTACTTTGATGTGAGTTTCTCTCATCATCACCTGTTGAAACTGTTTCACTGGGTCCAGCTGTTTCCATTGAGTCAAAGAATGACACCATAGTTCAATGGTTAGGCAGTCATCTGAGAGGTGAGAAACTTTTGTTCAAATCTCTTCTCATTAAGCAGAAAAAGCAGTTGAACAGGATATCCTGCATCCTAGGGGTGTTTCCTAAAGGGTAAAAAAGAGCTCTCTTCTTCCTCTGAGCCATTTTGAGTAGAGTTAGGTATTCTTAGAGAACAACTACCAAACTGGACTCTGCAGATTGGCTAGGTTAGCGAACCGTCATTGAACAAGGAGGACAAAAAGTATTGAATAGCCTGCAACAGAGAACACTGTCTATCCTTTATAGTGAGTGAGGAGTGGTCTACTCTGGGAAATAGCATGTGATCACGTAGTTAAAAGACTATATCATAATGTATATGCACAAGGGGGAATATGGCTTTCTTTTAATGTAGGTTTTTGTGTTTAAGAACTGAATAGACAGAGATCTTTCCTAAGTCTTATAAAATCAAATGAACTGTTTCAGCTAATTAGCAAGTAAAATGGAAGATTCTCATTTTATACAGGCGTTTGGATTCAAATGCTCTGCATTGTGACTGTGAAATACTGTGGCTGGCAGACTTGTTGAAGACATATGCAGAATCTGGCAATGCTCAAGCAGCAGCTACTTGTGAGTATCCAAGGAGGATCCAGGGAAGATCAGTGGCCACAATAACACCAGAAGAACTTAACTGTGGTGAGCTTTCCACTTAAAGTTCAGATTTTTTTCCCCAAACCACCATATTTTCATGGGATTTCCCCCCCCCCTTGTACAGGGAAGCTAATAGCTACTTTATGGCCATCTCTATCTCTTGTCTGTACCCCTTTCCCACAGTCTGACTGCTGCTTTTTGATCACTCACTCCACTCACTCTATATTCTTGGCTTCTTTGACCATACTGTTCTGCTTTTCCTCCTCTATCTCCACTTCCTCACTTATTAATATCATCTCTTTCTGTTTCTGTCCTCTCTTTAACATCATGTTAGTTGATGATGCAATGGCATTTCTCAGTGTAGACAAGGGAATAAGCCAAAGAACTGAATATGATCATCCTGAAAATATGTTTTCCTTAATACCTATCTGCTTCAGTAGTCAAAATTGAGAGAGATCTATATGGGTATGTCTACACTACCCCGCTAGTTCGAACTAGCGGGGTAATGTAGGCATACCGCAGTTGCAAATGAAGCCTGGGATTTGAATTTCCCGGGCTTCATTTGCAATTGCGGTATGCCTACATTACCCCGCTAGTTCGAACTAGCGGGGTAATGTAGGCATACCGCAGTTGCAAATGAAGCCTGGGATTTGAATTTCCCGGGCTTCATTTGCAATTGCGGTATGCCTACATTACCCCGCTAGTTCGAACTAGCGGGGTAATGTAGGCATACCGCAGTTGCAAATGAAGCCTGGGATTTGAATTTCCCGGGCTTCATTTGCAATTGCGGTATGCCTACATTACCCCGCTAGTTCGAACTAGCGGGGTAATGTAGGCATACCGCAGTTGCAAATGAAGCCTGGGATTTGAATTTCCCGGGCTTCATTTGCAATTGCGGTATGCCTACATTACCCCGCTAGTTCGAACTAGCGGGGTAGTGTAGACATACCCTCTCAGAATATCCCATAGCACAGTGATTAGGCCATTCTGCTGAGAGACTGCTGTTCAAATCCCTTTGCAACAAGCCATTTTTAGCTTTCTAAGTTGACACTAGTAAATGGCCAGAGAGATCAGAAAGACAAAGATAATTTTATGTAGAGAAAAATGTGTTTAATCACTAAAGCATTTTTTACTTGAAACATTTGTGAAAAATGTTCATCTCTGTACAGTGTGGGGGGTGATAAATATTTAATTATTCATTTTAATTGTTTTAAACCCAGCAAATTTTCCTTTATATCTTTTATTGTTGATCCAGAGAGGCCAAGAATTACGTCAGAACCTCAGGATGTGGATGTTACCTCAGGGAATACAGTGTACTTCACTTGCAGAGCTGAAGGCAATCCCAAACCAGAAATTATCTGGCTTCGAAACAAGTAAGTTAAGGAAAAAAAGGAGAGAGAAATTGTACGTTTCTGTTTTACAGGTAGGCTGTGTCTACACTGGCAAGTTATTCCGGAAAATCAGCCGCTTTTCCGGAAAAACTTGCCAGCTGTCTACACTGGCCGCTTGAATTTTCGGAAAAGCACTGACGAGCTAATGTAAAATCATCAGTGCTTTCCCGGAAAAACTATGCTGCTCCCGTTCTGGCAAAAGTCTTTTTCTGGAAAACTGTTCCGGAAAAGGGCTAATGTAGACAGCACAGTAGTGTTTTCCGCAAAAATGCCCCGATCGCGAAAATGACAATCGGGGCTTTTTTGCGGAAGAGGGCGTCTAGATTGGCCACGGACGCTTTTCCGGAAAAAGTGCTTTTCCGGAAAAGCATCCTGCCAATCTAGACGCGCTTTTCCGGAAATACTTTTAACGGAAAACCTTTTCCGTCAAAAGCATTTCCGGAAAATCATGCCAGTGTAGACGTAGCCATAGTGTATGAAATACGCCATTCATGCACTGTAAGCGGTCTTGCTTAGTCCTTGGCCACTGACCTGTGCTCAGACCCTTAAGTAATGGTCCGGCGGCCCCTTTTAGACTGTGGGGCTAGAGGGTTGGCAAGCCGCAATGCAGCGCCAGTCCAATGTCAATACAGCCCTGGCCCTGGTTCAGGGGGGGCCGGACAAACAGTTCCCTGAGTCAGCTTAGCCTGGGCCCTGGTCAGGGCGGAGCAGGCAAACAAACAGTTTCCTGGCACAAGTGGGAAGACTGCCACTCAGTGTGGCCGGGGGGGCTGCAGGCCCTCCCTACTTCACTGCATCCCGGCCCATCTGCTTCTCCTGGGTCACTTCCAAACTCCCCATCAGTCTATACGTGGCTCCCGGTCAATGGTGAGTTCGCAGGGTCCGGGTAGTCTGCGTTTGGGGATAGGGCCACTCGTCAGCCTCTGCTAGATCCTCAGGGTCCTCCTGGCGTGAGAGCTCAGGGTAGGCCTCTGTTCCCTCCGGCGGCTGGGGCCTTACTTAGCTCCGGAGTGGGGCTTTTATACTTCCCGCCCCACCCTGAGGCTTCTGTGAAATTAAAGGGGCAGGCTCCTGCTTGGCCCTCCTGGGCTGAGAGAGGGGTTCTTCCTCCTCAGGGTCAGTGAGCAGCCACCCATGCTCACTACCTGCACACATACATGAAGTACTTAAGAACATCCTATTAGTATTATACAAATTTAATATATTGGCAATTATAATTAGATCTACTTTCTTTTTATAAGGTTCTTTCTATAATAAAGAATCTTCTAAAATATATAGTATACTGTATATGATATCATGAATAAGATGTTTCAGCTGCATTTGCAACCACGAAATTTCAGAGACCTGCAAAACCCTGATTAACTTAACTAATAGGCTGTTGTATTGAAGATCAGATAATTCTGTCACAGCAGGTAAACATGGAGTTTGCAGGTGCAGCAAACATTGATGCATTTTGTTCAGATGTACTCATTGTTTCATTACAAACTAAGTGATATCTGTCTGCGGGCCCTAGTTATGCTGTAAATAAATCAATGTCCATCCTGCATTAATATCACTTTAACAAAGAAAACGTTTGAGAATTACTTTGAAACATGAGATGGTAATCAACAAAAGCATGCATTCAGAATTCACATATGAAAGAGTTTAAAAAAGAAATGAGAGAGGTTCAATTGTGTGTTTATTGACACTGGTTTGAGACATTTATAGTTGTTTGGCAATGAGAACAATTGATATCTGGAATAAAAAATGGAAATGGATGTGTGTAACTCATTTCCTTGTTTTTTCCGTATAAAAATGTACACTTCTAAAATCAGTCTAGCTTTTCCATTCTGAAGTATGAAAGTTTTCATTTTTTAAATTGGCACTCAGTTTGGTTTTAATTTCTGCTGCTTTTTTGTTAATTTAAGATTAAAAGTTCTACTATTAAAAATTCTACTTCCAGTTAAGATGCTAAAATTTATTCGTGTTGGTTATAAACATTAATACCGTTAAACTTTTGTCCATTGATATGTTTTCTCTGTGCTTTTGATGTAAAATTTTTAGTCCAGCACATTTCTGTCTTTATAGTAATGAGCTCAGTATGAAAGCAGATTCCCGTCTAAACTTGCTAGATGATGGCACTTTGATGATTCAGAATACTCAAGAGACAGACCAGGGTATTTACCAGTGCATGGCGAAAAATGTGGCAGGAGAAGTGAAAACTCAAGAAGTGACTCTTAGATACTTTGGGTCCCCAGGTAAATAGATTTCAGATATGGAATTTTTTTTCATCAGAAGACCATTTTCATAATGAAGTACATTTGCTTTTGTACATTAACTGCAGGTTTATACTTCTTGTGCATTTTTCATCTTCGTTTGCTTCAACATCTAGTTATTGCAATCCTAGAAAATATCAACCCATTATAGTAGTTATTTTATTATTTATTATAATATTATTTTATATTATTTAATCAGAGTAATAATGTAGATTATCTTTAGTAGTATAGGAGGGAAATAAGAGAATTAAATAGTGCTGTTGTTCTACAGCATTGATCTTTAGAGGTCTAAGTTCAGATGCTCAGAACAAAAACAACACTGCCAGCCACATAATTTAATGGGTGGGAGACTTAATTGGACCTGCAAAGTGCCAGACATTTTTAGAAGGAAATGGGGAGTCCGTGCAGGAGTAGGACTCTTTTCATGGGCATTCCACCATCCTTCAGCTCAATTTTATAAGAGTTCTAGCCTGTTGATGTTTGAGTCTGTAGATGGATGAAAACAACATTTAAGCATGGTTCTCTTCTGACAGCCAGGCCAAGTTTTGTGATTCACCCACAAAATACAGAAGTATTAGTTGGCGAAAGTGTTACTTTGGAATGCAGTGCAACTGGCCACCCTCAACCACGGATCACATGGACAAAAGGCGACAGAACCCCCTTACCAAATGATTCTCGCATCACAATAACTCCTTCAGGAGGCCTTTACATTCAAAATGTGAACCAGGAAGACAGTGGCGAGTATACCTGTTTTGCAACCAACAGTATAGATAATATCCATGCAACTGCATACATCATAGTGCAAGGCAAGTATTAAACAAGGAAAGACATTATATTTTTCAAAACTACAAAATAATGTAAAGCAAATATTTGTTTCGTTTTCTAAATTGTTGGAAATTAATGAAACCATATGTACATTATTTTAATTGTGGACCTTGCTCCCTCTCCTAATAGCCAATAGGGTTTTGCCATTGACTTTCGTGAGAGCAGGATCTCGGTCACTTTAATCTAGAAACAGAACTTTGGAAGAATTCTACCCAAATGTTTATATCCCTATTCATTTTTTGAAATGCCTGCTGCTCAAGATTTTGTCAGTTGGTCTATTTATATAATCAAATGTACATGTACTGTTAATGTCCATTTTGTGTGGGACTCAGATATTTTATACAGTAGCTAGCATGTCTAAAGTTTAAGGTGTACGTATTTGCTACTGGACATGGAGTTTTGAGTGTGGTTTTGTCATGCATTTTTTCCTAATCATTTTCCATCGAAGCTATCAATCCCTCTAGCCCCCGATCATTTGTACAGCTCTTCTGTGAACTGTAGTGCTAATTATTGTAATCCTACTAACTGTATTTTCAGCACAATTTTCACATAGCATTAGTACACAAAATATTTGCAGGAATACTATATGCAAAACATTTTTTATACATAGGCTATTACGTGCAAGTTTATAAAGCTAGAAGTGATACTGGCAGTTACATTTTTCCATAGGTTTCTATAGGTTTCTAATATCTTTCAACGTTTAAATTTGTTCTTTCCTTATCAGTTTTGGGTTTTTTTTCCCGCTTCTTTTTCTTTTAGATTGTAAACTCCTTAGAGCAAGAAACATGTCAACCAATACATAAATATTTTTCAAATTATAGAAAACATATGCCCTCCCCCGTGTCTAGTTCACGATTCAATCAGCAAATGGGTGGATGTATTTTGAGGACTGAACAAATGCCCAGTCTCATTGATAACGTCACAGTGTTACTGAAAAAACTGGCCTATATTTCATTCATTGGTTTTCTTTTGTATAAAGGCACTGTGTGTGTGTTAGCAGAAAAGAGCAGATCAGGCTGGTTGTGATCACATTGTGTTTTCTTCATAATTTAGTTGAGGATTTTTTTAAAGAAACAAAGAAAGCAAGATATTTTGAATCCAGAGAACATTCTCTACTTGATTATACCAGTCTTAAGGTACATCATATTTTGGATCTATTATGATGATGATGATTTGTTATTTATTCGTATTACTGTAATGCTTATAGGTACCAACTGAGATGAGGGCCCCATTATGCTAGGCTCTGTTCATATATGTGACAGACAATTCATGCCCCAAAGAGCTTACAATCTAAAAGAGCTAGCAGGATCCCTTTCCCCACAGAACTGTGCAGGTCACATAGAAAATAAGTAATATTAACCAATGGAGCATCTTTAATTGTTCTTTAACATGTTATTTTCTCCTTACTCTAGCTGTACCCCAGTTTACTGTCACTCCTCAAGACAGAGTAGTGATTGAGGGCCACACTGTCGATTTCCCTTGTGAAGCGCAAGGCTATCCACAGCCTGTTATTGCTTGGACCAAAGGAGGTAAGAAGTTTATTAGAGATTTTAATTTTAAACTTTTAAAATATGACATCCTCTTTAGAATCACTTAAGAAATATCAGAAAATGCTTGTGTGTGTATTGTACATACAGTTGCCTTAAAAGCTTCTTATCTGTGATGGAAGATGTCAAGGTAGTCAGCTCATGTAAAACTTTTTGTACAGGTTGAACCCCTGTTAACCAGGACTTCCTGGTCCAGCAACATCTGTGGACCAGCAGGACCACGGGTGTTCCAGGACCAGAGAGTACAGTGAAAGACTGGCTGCACCTCAGCTGGGCTGCTACGTACAAAACAATGGGGCTGCTCAGGGTGCCAGGAGCCCTGCACACTGCAGCAGGGCTATTCAGCGGGACCAGGAGCCCAATGCGCAGGGAGCTAGGCTGTCTGGCTTAGTAAGGAAGGGGGTGGGACTGGTAGGGCAGCAGGACTGGCAGGGGAGGGAGCAGCCAGGAGGACAGTAGCAAGTCCAGGGCTGGGGAGGAGACGGTAGCAGGGGACAGGTATGACCTCCCCTGGTCCAGCAAAATCCCTCATCCGAGACTGGTCAGGTCCTAAGGGTGCCGGACCAGGGAGGTCCCACCTGTTGTTATAAATCTAAGTAGGGTTAAACATATAATGCGATAATCTTTAACTGCCATCTCTACAAAGTTTGTACAAGATATATTCTTTTCAAGCATGTGGAGCAGATGAAAGACTTTGGCACTGATCCTGAAATATAATCCACCAGCACTGGCACCTGTCCCACTGCATAAAGATATTGACAAAATAAATGGCCAAATGGGGGTTCAAACTGAAGTTGATATGACTTGTCTTGGGCACAGAGGACTACTCTTGTGGACGACATTTCAGGAATTGGAATGTAAAGATGCTAGGCCAAATTCAGGGATGATAGAAATGATAGTATGCATAAGATCAGTAAGTAGATCCGCTACACGTACCATCCTAGTGGAAAGGTGAGTTTATAGCAGGAGAAGCAACCCAAAGGAGGATGCAAGTGGTGGTAGATAAAGCAGAATTTTAGTTAGACCTTGATCACTGATCACTATGGATTTTCCTTCTCCTCAACTTCTTGAGGTGGCTCCAAATAATTGTTATGTATGTTTGCCATTGATGAAGAAAAATAGAGTGTGGTAGAAAAGTAGTAAGGGTGGGTAGACAGGAATGGCGCTCAGCCTTATTTTAGTGCATTTTGTTTCATTCCTTTGTACCACAGAAACCACTATAGTGCCGCTATAGTGCTTCTGCAACAATGCTACCTGTCCTGATGAAGAGATTCTCTTATCAACTTAGGTTCACCACCTGCCTAAGAGGCGGTTGCTAGGTTGATGGAACAATTCTCTCATTGACTAGCACTGTCTATACCAGCGGATGGATTGGCTAACTGCATTGTTTAGGGTTTTGGATTTTTTATACCCTTAAGTGTTGTAGTTAAACTGACATAATTTCCTATTGTTGACCATGCCACATTGTGTGTTCTGGAGAGTAGGTAGTTGCTTCAAAACATTTTTTCTAAAGAATTTGTTTTGTGAAACCTCTGTCTATTTAAAACATGATTTAAGTTTTATCAAATACTAAATGCCTCTGGTTGTCTCTGAAATATAAATAGTATTTTATTTCACATGGCTATAATTAATATATAACAATTGCTGTGTTTCAGGTAGCCAACTCTCTGTAGATAGAAGACATTTAGTACTGTCATCTGGAACACTGAGGATTTCCAGAGTTGCTCTACATGACCAAGGCCAATATGAATGTCAAGCTGTCAACATTGTTGGATCCCAAAGAACAGCTGTACAATTAACAGTACAACCCAGAGGTATGTTCAGAATAACTATATTTTTATCTGCTTAGAAAAAGTACATTTAGGGCCCAACTTTAACGGCTATAGAGGGAGTATCAATGGGGGTTAGGCAATACCTTTATAAATATGGGCCTTAGACTTATGTTAAAATGTTCATTGGAATGCTTGCCTTAGTCTTTTTCTCTTGGAAACCATGTCTGAAAGTTGAAATTTATCAGGTTTTAGATAGTAAATTTTATTTTATAAGGCACCTTTTAACTTTGCTTCTTTCACCTCATCATAATAGAATTCAAATACTTAGTTAGCAAAGAGACACTCCCAGGATAGGGAGCCTGTCTTCTTCAGCACTTAGTAGAGGGGAACCCTGATCCTGTTTGGAGATTCTGGAATTTAGAGGAAGAAAAATTGTCCATTAATATAGATATGTAAGTACAGATGCATACAACCTGGTAAGATTCACCTCTGTCTGTAGGGCCCACACAGCTCCTTCCCGTTTTTAAAACGGAGCTTAAGAAGAATTTTACTGATTGTGCTAGATTTCTGCCTAGGAGTGAATTTTATTCTTGAAGACTGTTCTAGATTTGCACGATCATAGTACTTTTTATCCCAGGATCTCAGTGCAATTTACAAATGTTAATTAAACTCACCATATGCTGTGAGGTAGAAGTCTATTTATATATCATATAGTTAATGAATAAATTGAGAGGATACAGAAGTAAAATGTTGTACTGGGGATGACACAGATTCAGTGCCAGAGCCTGGCCCTCAGTAAATCTCTTAAATACAGGCTTAACTTTGGGCATGTGCGTAGTCCCAATAATTCAGTGGTTAGCAAAGATAAGGAATCTTGTTGTCTCTGTCTGTTCAACATTATACTCAGTAGGACTGCAATCTTGACTGAAGCTTATAGTTTTATATATACTTTGTTGGATCAGAGCCTAACAGTCAGTCGAAAACTTTACTGCTCATTCCAGATTCCAAGGCCACTTTTTTCGAAAAAAACCTGTAGTCTAGATACACCCACAGAGATGTAGGTCAAAAGTATCCATTATCTTTGGGTGCTAGTTCAAGACTCCTGAGATCTGATTTTTTTCAGAGAGCTTAGCATTATGTACCTCTTTATATGTCAAAAGCACAGCATCCAGTGTCTTCAGTCTTCAGCACTTCTGCAAACTGTATTCCAGGGTCTTAAATTGGGGAACCAGAAAATGGTTTACACACAGTTAATTACAGTCTGTAAATTGCTTGGATTAAGTGGCTTGCTCAGTAACCATAAAATGCTTTGTGGCAGAGGCAGGGATAGAATCCATTTATTCAGGGCAACATTCAATGGCCTTAATCCCGAGATCTTCCTTTCTCATCCTGCACTCCCCTGTTTCATTCATTATAGACATTCCAACATCTGCAAGAAATGAAGCAGGAGTCCCACCACTAATCCCCTTAATTACACAAGCCTGGATTTATCTCCAAATCTGGTCCACCCTAAATGAGAAAGTGATTCTTTGGAAAAAGATAGTATGTGATCATGTAATTATATGTGTCACAATGCATACTCACAAGTAAGTTGAATTAAGGTTTCACAGGCAACCCAAATTCTGGAGTTCCCAAACTTCTGAGTGCTTGACTTTGTAACTCTTAATATAGGAATTATACACAAAACACTAGTTTCTTTCTTTTTTTAAAAAAGCTTACTGAAAAAATTCCATTATGGGGCATCATTGTTGACAGTGATACTGGCTGTCATCAGAATGGGAATCTTTAGGCCCCCCCACACACATCCCCAACACTTGAGCTGAAGGAGTAACAGAAAGTAGATGTAGGCTGTCCTCCTGTATATGGACGAGCATTAGTGGGGCAGGAAACATTTTGCTCGTGTGTTTCATAGGTTAGGTAGGAAAAGTGACTCTCTGCAATCTGTGGTTCCGTTTTAGTGTTGGAATGGACAATCGTGACCCTTTGTGCCCTGTCCCCTCCAACCTGTCCCAGTCCTGTGTCTCTTCTGATTTCTCATTCCAATCTTCTCACTTAACCAGTCCCAATCTCCACTCTCCAGGCTTCTCATCCTAGCAAGTCCTAGTCTCACCTCTTTGGACTATCTCCCTGTTCTCAGCCCCAGTCTCCCCTCGGAATGTAAAAACTGCTCAGAATAGTTAACCAGTTAAACAATTTGTTTAACTGGTTAACCAGTAGCTGTGGGCAGCGGGTGTACTCCAGATTCCGCTCAGCCCAGCTGCAGATAACAGGGACTGCTCTAGGAGCATCGTCCACTCTGGTCCTGTCAAGTGGGCCACCATGGGGGAGGAGACTGGTTAGCTGGAAAGTATGCTGGTAAGGCATATGTTCACCAGTTAACTGGTTACCCAGTTAACCTTTAATATGCCAAGTCTCTCCTCCAGTGGCTCAACTGTGCATTCCAGCCAGTCACAATCCCTCCCACCCTTGACTCCTCATCTGATGTCTCTCTTTTCCCCATCCATGTTCCCTATCAGCTTTCTGTCTCAACTTCCCTTCCTCTGCTCCTCATCTAATCTCGGTGTCTCCCCCTCACTGCCATCAGCTCCTTGTTTCACACTCTACACAGCCTGGGTATGTCTACACTACCCCGCTAGTTCGAACTAGCGGGGTAATATAGGCATACCGCACTTGCAAATGAAGCCCGGGTGTACCGGTGGTTCGGAATAGGAAGCCTAGTCCGAACTACCTAGTTTGAGCCCCGTGTAGCCGCGCTGCACGGGGTTCAAACCAGCGGGGTTTTAAAAATGGCGGCTCCCCGCTTATGCAAATGAAGCCTGGGAAATTCAAATCCCGGGATTCATTTGCAAGTGCGGTATGCCTACATTACCCTCCTAGTTCAAACTAGGAGGGTAGTGAGACATACCCCCTGTCCCATTGCTTCTGAGCATTGCTCCTCATTGGACTCCTCATTGGATTTTTCTGGTCTGCCCTTTTCTCCCCCATCCCACTAGTCCTTTCTCCTCCCATCCTTTTCTCAGTCCCCACTGCAGCTCCTCATCTGGTGTCTGTCTTCCATCCATCTACTAGGTTCCAACCCCTTCCGTTTTGGCTTGGCTTCTAGTCATCTTGTCCAGCTAGTCCCAGTTTTCCCCACCTCCCTGACTTCCCCATCAAGTCTCTTTGCTTAGCTTAACCAAGTTTCATCAGTCTAATTTCTCTCTTATCCCTCTGCCAATCAGTCTCTCTCCAGTCAGTCTCTTACCACTTGGCTCTTAATCCTACTCTGTCCCCAAGTTGCCCACACAGGTCCAGCTCTTGTCCCTTCTGTATTCAGATCAGTCAGGTTCTTCCTCCATGCTGCCTAGACCCAGCAGGGGGCTCACTGAAAGCACAAGGGAAAGTCTCCCAATTCGTAGTTCTGATGCCTAGAGGCAGCATGCCTGAAGCAACCCATAGCTGCAATTACAGGGTAGGTCTTGCTCATATCTTGACTGGAACATGCCCAATATGCATTGAAACTTTGGGGGAATGTAGCTGCTAAAATCTAAGTTGTCTTAACAGATCATTTGTGAACTGCATTTTTAATAGGTTTTATCACTTTAAAAAGCTTGGTCAGTGTGGCCAGCAAAAAACATAACCCTCTCATAAAGATGATACACTTCCCTGTCAAAATTTAAGTCCCTGCTCCATGTGGAGGCACCAGAGCTGTTCAAAGGTCTCCAGTGACAATAAACCTTATTTTTTTAACATAGGCAAAACAACATATTTTTCCCTAGCTTCATGCTTTCACGTTTCACTGTTCTGCCTGAAATTGTCTAAAAAAATTCAGCCTGAGGAAAAGGGAACATTTCAGCACAATAGTTAAAGTTTGGCAAAGTAACAAGCGACTTAAAAGTAGTTCTTACAATGGGAAATGTTGGGGAAATAATAATACAGTTCTTATTCTGAACAACTTCTGTGCAAATAATAGGTCGAGTAGTTTATTTCAAAAAGTTTTCCTGTTTTTAGTGCCATAATAAAGATTCAACTGTTGTATATGCAACTCTTACTGCCTTCATTCAGCTAAATTGTTGTATGTGATTTAACTGTGCCTCTGTAATTTTCTTTATTGCATACATTTAAAATACTTACACATTTTTCATTATGTCCGTGTAACGTCACTTTAGTTACCCCAGTGTTTGCTAACGTTCCAAGTGATATGACAGTAGAAGTTGGCACAAATGTTCAAATTCCATGCAGTTCTCAAGGAGAGCCTGAACCAGAAATAACATGGAATAAGGTAATAAATAATAAAAAATAACTTTTAGAGTGCAGAGACTTTTTCAGGCTTTATTAAGTGTGCTGGAGTTGACTGTTGCTTATTCTGTGTCTAACCTCAAATGATAGCAGTAGCTCAGGCATCTGTGCTACAAACCATGTTCGGAGTATAGGTACCTAACCTGAGAATTCGTCTACGCTACAGTGATATAGTTATTGTACAATGACTGTGCCACTGAAGTACTGTAGCGTAGATCCTTTTTACATTCACAAATGGGGGTATAGATAATCAGTCTCTCCAACGGGTGAAAGCTACAAAAAATTCCACCAGTCTGGCTGCATCTACAATGGTGGTTAGGGTGATGTAAATACATTGCACAAAGTGATGTAAATACACCGCACTAAGGATAGATCAGGTCTGAGTTTGCACAGGAGTATGGAACCTTTTTAATATAGGAACTGTGCCTAAAATTCACATTCCCAGTTTGTAAAAGGATGTTCAAAGATATTGCAAATGCTTTTCTATTTCAGTTTTGTGCAGCTCTGAACAAGTTCATTAATAATCACACTTTCAGAGAGATTAGAATATAAATCAAGAATAGGACTATTTGCAGACGTTGTGCTGGCACTATAGGTTCAACCAAGACAGTAGTTGTGGCTAGTGTTCCCTGTAAGCTGAGCCCTTGGGCAGTTGCACAGGAGCGACTCAGGTACTGCCCAGCTGATTAGCAGAGCGCCCACCGCTGATCACTGCCAGCAGTATGTGTTTGTATTGGTGGTGAATATCTGCACATGCCTTGGTGAATGTAACAAAATTTACTCTGCCCATGGATGGAAAAAAATAGAGGAAACTTTGGTTATGGCTCATGCTGAAATTATACCTTTCTACCTGTGTGTCTTTGACAAATATTTTTTTAAAAAATCCATAAATGCAAGTATCATAATGAAAAAATCTCTCTCAGATGATATCCAGCTAAACACATGAAAAAGTAAAAGAAAAGTCAGGCAGGACTCCTGCTCTGTCTTTAATTTCCACTATAATCCTAACCATTGCAATAATTTGACAACAGAGAGGCTGTGTCTACATTGGCATCCCTTTCCAGAAAAGGGATGCTAATGAGACACATCGCAATTGCAAATCCGCGGGGGATTTAAATATCCCCCGCGGCATTTGCATTTACATGGCTGCCGCTTTTTTCCGGCATCTCTTATTCCTACTTGAAAATAAGCCCTACTTGAAAGTAGGAATAAGAGATCCTCTGGAAAAGGACTTATTTTCCGGAGAATCACGTCTAGACTGGCGCTTTTCTCCGGCTTACCCCCAGCCGGAAAAAAGCGGCAGCCATGTCCCCTAAAATAACCTTGTCTCCCACTTGCAACTCCCTTTTGGGTCAGAAGAAACACTGGTCTCCCCCATGCAATATGGACATATAAGATAAAAAAGCTTACAAAGTACAGATTTCACGGTGGGAGATCTGATTCTATGGTTCACAACACATTTTTCATGACCATGAATTTAGTAGTCCCTAATCATGATCTGAAACATAGATGGCAAAAGGCTAATCTATTAAGGAAAGTCAACTACCAAAATAAATCAATTCATCACTGATACAAAGAATGGAACTAAAACAAGGTTGGCAGATCCCTATAAAGAACAAAAACAAAAACCACACCAAACAAGACATGAAGGAGGCCAAAGAACTGTTGAGAATTAGGCAATCAAAATGCAGTGAGTTCTAAATGAAAGTGACATTTATTTCATCCATGTGTTATATATCTGCAGTCATTTACAAAAACCATGCTTCTGGAACTGTGGCATGTGCGGAGACTTGTTATGCAACAATTACAGCAGTATTATAATGGTATGAGAACCAAGGAAATTCAAGATTCTTATTGGTGCTTTATTCTTAACTCATCACTGGAGATAACTACAGTACAGGAAGTCCCCGGGTTACGTACAAGATAGGGACTGTAGGTTTGTTCTTAAGTTGAATCTGTATGTAAGTCGGAACTGGCATCAGCTGCTGCTGAAACTGATCAGTTTCAACCGTGGCTGAATCTGGATGCCAGTTCTGACTTACATACAGATTCAACTTAAGAACAAACCTACAGTCCCTATCTTGTACGTAACCCGGGGACTTCCTGTACTGTAGTTATCTCCAGTGATGAGTTAAGAATAAAGCACCAATAAGAATCTTGAATTTCCTTGGTTCTCATACCATTATAATACTGCTGTAATTGTTGCATAACAAGTCTCCGCACATGCCACAGTTCCAGAAGCATGGTTTTTGTAAATGACTGCAGATATATAACACATGGATGAAATAAATGTCACTTTCATTTAGAACTCACTGCATTTTGATTGCCTAATTCTCAACAGTTCTTTGGCCTCCTTCATGTCTTGTTTGGTGTGGTTTTTGTTTTTGTTCTTTATAGGGATCTGCCAACCTTGTTTTAGTTCCATTCTTTGTATCAGTGATGAATTGATTTATTTTGGTAGTTGACTTTCCTTAATAGATTAGCCTTTTGCCATCTATGTTTCAGATCATGATTAGGGACTACTAAATTCATGGTCATGAAAAATGTGTTGTGAACCATAGAATCAGATCTCCCACCGTGAAATCTGTACTTTGTAAGCTTTTTTATCTTATATGTCCATATTGCATGGGGGAGACCAGTGTTTCTTCTGACCCAAAAGGGAGTTGCAAGTGGGAGACAAGGTTATTTTAGGGGAGCCATAGTATTGCCACCCTTACTTCTGTGCAGCCTCCAAAGAGTGGCATCTGGTGGCCAGGCACTGAGCTCTGAAACTGATGCCCTGCTACCTGCAGCAGTGCAGAAATAAGGGTAAGCAGTACTGCAAGCACTCAAAAAAAATCCTCCTTTTTTGGGTCAGGACCCCTACAATGACAACTTTGTGAAATTTGCATTTAAAAAATAAATCCTACACCCATGAAATTGATCAAAATGCAGTGTGAATCTGGTAGGGCCCTAATCATGAATATGTTTTTGGGTGGGTTGGCTTCAGATTTTTAAGTTATTTTGTATTGTATTTTTTGATCTCTTGCAGTAAGCACTTCCATACATTTTTAAATAAAAATAAATTATTCAAAATATTATTGACTGCTTTAGCTTACTATTCATTGTATGTAGTGTTTGCTCTTCCACCTCATTTTGGCCATGCTCCCAGCCTTAATACACATTCTCTGGGGGCTGAGAGCCCAGTAGCTTTTATGTTACTAAAAAGCAAAACTTCTGCTGCATTCTGCCATTGTTCTTGTATTCACACTCAACTGCACTCTTGAGACTTCCATGATTTTAATATCCTGAGTGCATTGGATTGTAAATCTGAAAAACCTTGGTGCTAAAGTACAGTGACCACTGAGATTTCTGAAATTTAGTGCATACTGTAGAGTAGACAGTATGATAAATCATCTGAGCAGGACCAGACAAGCAAGGGGCAGTGTGATGAATCTGCTGAGGGTGAATCTTTCTCTGTTCTTCTGGTTCCTGACCAGAGAGTGATTCCTCAGCTTGGAGCAGATGGTCCCTTGGCTTTTGGGAGGAGGATTATGGCAACCTGGTAGCACAGAGTTGAAGGCAGCTGTTTCTGGTGGCTATTCTGAGTGACTCAGCTGAAGTTTCAAATCTGCCTAGGTATCTCTGGAGTCTGGAGTCTGTTGTGGTTGAAAAATAACAGAAACTCTCCTACACAGTGCAGATGAGAACAGTACATAATGGAAATAAACAAATGATCATGCATCTGACATCAGTTTCTCTCCAGTAATGGAAACTGGCCTGCAGCAAGGCCCTAAGGTCAACCACTGCTCAACTGAGAGGCAACAATAATGTACTGGGAAAGCACAGACTACAGGGAAATGTGTTCAGACCTATGGTACAGAGCCCAGCAGAGGGGGTACTGAATTCCACTTTCCTATTGAATGGTTGGCAATATTCCTCTCCTTTCCCTATGGAATGGATGGGGTACTCACATCAGGCTGCTGAACTGAGAGCCCACTGAGAGGGAACCAGGCTTGCCTCTTTTTCCAGTATTAGAGGGGAGAAAGGAATCTGAGTGGCAGTGTTTCCGTTCTCCCTCCTCTGAGGATAATTAATATTTGCCAAAGCATTCAGTTACAGGAAGTTATATTCAAGTGAGTATGAATGTGACTTTGTATTCAAGTGAAGTCAATCTATTATCTAGAGTATATGGTTCTTCCCAGAGTCTTCTTTTATTATTTGTTGGGCCTGTATTTTATATGGAAAGGGCACGCAACTGTGAGGCTATTTTTTGTTTCTTTTTAAAGTTCATAACATAATAAATACATTCAATATACTATTCTGCCTACAAACCATCCTGTCTTGGTGGCAATGTACAGTACTGTGAGCTATGCTCCTTCTTGTTAAATTTTGTTATCTAAACTATAAAAAAAATAGTTTCGCTGAGGTTTTTTATGGATTTCTGTGGGGTTAATTTAAATGATTGACATGGCATATAAAATTGGTATGAAATAAAGATATTACTGTTCTCAGATCAAGTTCACACTGCTAGAAGAAAACAATACAGATTCAGAATGTTAAGCAATTTAAAATGTTAATAAAATTTCCAGAGATGATATTTTCAGAGTAACTGACAATTGTGCTTTGCTACAGGATGGAGTTCAGGTAACAGAAAGTGGAAAGTTTCATGTTAGTCCAGAGGGATTTCTTACCATTCGGGATGTGGGAACAGCTGATGAAGGCCGATATGAATGTGTTGCCCGGAACACTATAGGGTACTCCTCAGTTAGCATGGTGCTAAGTGTTACTGGTAAGATTTATTCAAGCATTTATGTGACTTCATGGCCTAACTTGCTTGTAGTACAGTCATGACTGAAGTCTAAAAGAATGTTTTGGGCTGCAGGAGGCCACACCACTTTCCTCTTGAAATATATTTTGGCTGTCTGAACTTGCTAGTACCATGCACACACTGGCTTTTGGGAATGACTTGACAATAAATCCTTTGACATTTTTAAAGGTAGACCTATATGACTAACTGGAAACTAGCTTGCTGCCACAAACCAACAATTCCTAAAAGTCTTAACCTTTTGATAAGAAGCCAGTGTAAGTACAAACTACTTGTTAAAATATAAATAAAAATAGGCTGGCCAAGAGGCTACCAAAATAATTAACAGCACTTCTATGATCTTATATAGACTGATCCCAGTCCATCAAACACATGTAGTTTATCCCAGGAAATAACTGCAACCTTCTCCCTGCCATCCCATGTGTTTCCAATTATCCCTCTTTTGTAGAATCCCTGCCTGTCCTTCACAAGTAAACTTCTCTCTAAATAGCTGCCTTCACCTTAAAGATCTGTTGTTTACAGCCTAATTAGCTGATTGGACCCACCTGGTATAACTCAGCTCTTACAGGACTACTGTGGAGAGCTGCACACCCCATCACAGATCCCAAAAATTATTTTTCCAGGCATGTTTATCACTACTCAGAAAGACCACTCTATTGGAGCTGCAGTAAACCCAGTTGCTGAACTTCCACTTACACAAAAGTAGTGAGACCTTGTTCTGGAGTGTTTGCTAGCTGTTTAAAAAGTATATTGGACAAAAATATTACAGTAAGGTAAAACTTTCATGTGAAACTAACGAGCAAAGGATGTTCAGAGTTAAAACTGGTTTTGTATATCCTCTCATCCTCCTCTCGCATATTGGCCTTGCTCTCAGATTAACAGCACTGTCACTTTATTAATAGTTCCTTCATCTGAAGATCTCAAAGCTCTTCGAAAACATTAATCCTCACAGCAATTCTGTGAGTTTAGTAATTATAAAAGAGATTATGTACCCACAGAAAATCTGCCTCCTTTCTCCTCCTCCTTCTTCTGTGTCACTTTACCAACCTTTCAGTATTGCTTCCAAATCTGGTGGCCCCTGACACAGGGTAGGGGCAGGATACTAAGGGATAGATTTTATTTACCCATCTGCACTTCAACAACAGCTGCTAATCAAACATTTCGTAAAAAGGCAATTTCATGGATCCACAAGATCTTGCATTTCTAGCATTATAAAGATTTGTATATTATCTATGAATTTTTGATATTGGGCCTACTTTTCTGAGGCTAGATAATTGTAAATATAAAACAAAAATCTAAAGCACCCCAAAATGGTGCCTCTTGATTTCTAGAGAGACCCCAAGATGAAAACCATGAAGAGTCCCTATAGCTACTTAGGAATCCCTTAACATTTTTTAAAGCCTCTTGAACTTCTGTAATACTGCAGTATGTTTCTAAATCTAAAAAGGAAGTTTATAAATATGGGGCATTTGACTCTAGTGTTTCACATTATCCATTGAAACCTATATGCTTGGAACCCAATCCAGTATCCATTGAAATCATGGGAATGTTTCCATCAACTTTAGTGAATGCTGGATAAGCTTTTGGTTGCAAACACTTTTAAGCAGCTTACATGGTGTACCACAAACAGAAGCTGAGCTAGAATACTGACTTTACTTTTTTTGCTTTGGTTTTGTTTATATAACCATTGTAAGACTACTTAACGGCTACTTAAATAATCTTTCTTGTTTTCCACACACTGCTTTATTTTTATGGCAGCTTCATTTTAACTGAACCTTTATGTATAACTGACATTAAAAAAACACCCTTAATTCTGCAGCGATGTAAATGTGTTTCAGTAAAGTTCCCAAAGGATTAGTAATTTTAAATGTGGAGGTACTAAAACTTAGGAAATGTGGTTTTCTTTGTGAAACTGAAATTATGTAGTGTCTAATCCTTGCTTTCTGACTAACTTTTTTGCATGCAGTAATTTTTGTAGTAACTTGCAATTTTATGTTTTTCTAGTTCCTAATGTCAGTCGAAATGGAGATCCATTTGTAGCAACATCAATTGTTGAAGCAATTGCAACTGTTGACAGAGCTATAAATTCAACACGTACACATTTGTTTGACAGGTATCATGTTCTTTGGGGTTTTTTGATGGGGAAGTCAAAATTAATGTTGAATATCATGCAGGAAATGTTGCAATCAGTAAACCCATTTAATTACTATACTGCTGAAAGATGATACAATGTAATGGTTTTAAATAACAAATGTTATCATCTGATTATTTTTTGGAGTTCTAGAAATTTACCAAGAAAGAGCCATATTTTTAAATGAAAACTGAACAGATTCAGCTAATAAAGCCTTGATCAGTTATTTTGAACAGTTATTTTGGGGAACCAGCATGTTTAAAAGCTCTTTTTTTTTTCTAAAGCCAACAGGCATTTTAATGTTGTATCTCATTCATAATACAAATGTAATGTACTTGAATGTTTAAATATGTTTTGAACATCTTGTATTAAATGTAGATATTTATTTTTATTTATTTTGCCTTCCATTTTGGGATGAGTAACAAAGGTATAGTCAATGACATCTAGTTCTACCTTAAGTTGCAGAAACTTTTAAAAACGTGTTAGTTTTATAGCACTTGTTATTCATACTGTTTTTTTTCAATTGTCTATTAGTCGTCCTCGTTCTCCAAATGATTTGCTAGCTTTGTTTCGGTACCCAAGAGATCCTTACACTGTGGAACAAGCAAGAGCTGGAGAAATATTTGAAAGGACATTACAGCTAATTCAAGATCATGTACAAGGTGGTTTAATGGTTGACCTAAATGGGACAAGTCAGTATTTTTTTTCTTACTTTCTGTGTTGTGTAGTATATAAGCCATTTCAATTCATTATGCTTCAAGAAATATTAATTTTAAAAGCCAGAGTCCACATTGTGCTGTTATTCATTTTGAAGTTATTGGGACTGCTTGAGTGTGCAAGAGCTCACCAACATGAATGAAGGATCCACATGGGTCCTTGATTCACATATGGCTATATTTTGCTTGAGATGTGCTGGTCCATTATTGTAATTCTGCACTATTTGATGTAGTAAGGGAATAATGTAGTTAAATTCTTCTCTCAGTTACAACTAAAGTGCTGAAAGACATGGGGTTGAAAAGGTGAATTTGGCTAATAGTTTCTTAGCAAGATTTAGAATTCTTCAGTGTGTACTGATGATAAGACATTATTTGTATTGATTATTTCATCAAAAGAAAATATGGTAACCCCTATTTGTCTTATCACAGGGTATGTCTAGACTACAGAGTTTTGTCGACAGAAGTTTTGTCGACAGATACTGTCGACAAAGCTTCTGTCGACAAAGAGCGTCTAGACTACATCCAGGTCTGTCGACAAAGCAAGCCACTTTGTCAACATAACAGTGTGGACACAAAGGACAGTATAGATGCAATAATGCCTTCTATCGACAGAACTCTGTTGACAAAAGGCGTTATTCCTCGTAGAATGAGGTTTACATACGTCGACAAAACTGCTGAGTTTTGTCGACATAACTCAAAGGCAGTGTGGACGCAGGTAAAGTTTTGTCGACAAAAGTTCACTTTTGTCGACAAAACCCTGTAGTCTAGACACACCCCCAGAGAGGATATAATCTAACAGCAAAGACAGAACTGTGTTTATTTATGGTACCAGTTTTCCTGCAGTAATTGTTACTTGTTCTTCTTAAACCAGAATACAGTATCAAACAAAGCTACATCCAATATGGGTTTTGTTGTTTTCGTAAATAGTAGGAAAAAATAAAGTTTAATGTTTCTGCTCACTGACTGACATGTACTCAGAATTGAGAATTATAATGCACAGCCTGAAAATTTAGAGCTAAACACACTTGCAAAGAGAACTGTATGCTAATTGTTCTGCTGTGGATGTATGTCTTACTTTTTGGCAGTTCATATGCAGTATGTCAATGCCTGAGACTTATGACTAAAGCATTTGGAAATAATGATGGAGTTTTAGGAGAGATGCTGAGACGTGGCATGTAGCCAAATGTTACAGCTAGACTGGAAATCTGAGGAAATATTTGTACTTATACATACTGCTTTTGATGTTTATAATTGAGAATTTCACTTTAACTTCTTAAAAGTTTAAATGTGTCTCCGAATTAGGCCAATGTGTACAAGACCCAAAACTGTAAGCTTTGTAGAATTAAAACATTGTCGCATTTGTTACTCAGAATGCTGAGCAAACAATTTACAAAGAATAATTTGTCATAGACATTTGACTTCTTCTTTGAGCAGATATCGTAATATTAGCGAATTTGCTAGTCATTCATGGCTAAAGTGAATTCATTTAAAAATTCAAGATAATCCCAGCTAACATTTTATAGCATTGAAAACTTTATACAACTACAACCTGAACTGGCTTTTGGTCCCTGCAGTATCCACAGCTATGGGCCCAAGAGTTCAGAGAATTAGACAGGTAAAGAGAATCTACGTTCATTGAACTACCTGGCTTGTGTTTTTAAAGTTAAGTAATGTAAGCTGTTACTAATGTTGAAAAGAACAAGTGGATGGGTTCCACTTCTGCAGTGATAAATTGGGGGAGCTTAACAACTGCCCGTCTGTGGTTTTTTTTTGACTAAATGAAGCTATTACAATTAATCTGTATCTCAAAGAATCATCCAGCCAGGCTTATGTATAGTGGTGTTGTAATGAGTGCTATATATTTTTGGTAGTCTCTGGGGTGCCACAGGACTATTCATTGCTTTTAAACAGTGGTCCCCAACCTTTTGGGGCTGCCGGGTGGAGCGGGGGTGGCACCACACATCTGCTGCGCGCCCGGGGGCGGCACCGCGCACACGCCGCATGCCTGGGATGGGGGCCACACATGCACCTCACGCCCAGGGGCGGCACCGTGCATGCACCGTGCGCCCAGGGCACAAGAATGGCTCGGGCCGGCCCTGGTCACTAGGTAGGCGCACATAAATGCCCTGGCGGGTGCCATGGCACCCACGGGCACCGTGTTGGGGACCACTGCTTTTAAAGTTGCAGACTAAAATAATGCTTAGAAATGGGTGTTATTGAAAGGAAGATTTAATTAAAAACCCTCAAAACAATGTATTATGTTGTGTTTTTTAGTAGCCATTGGTGATTCTTCACCATGGTGTACAGTGTTTCCAAGGTCAGAATGGTCCTGAAAATGTTATTTGTAGCGTGGCTATTTAATTCTTACTCCTTGAATTATGTATTTCAATCATAGTAACATTATGCTTGAACAGTGGTGGGAAACCTACAACCCATGAGCCACATGCAGCCTGCCAAGGTAATAACTAGCATTATTTCGAAATAACAATGCGCGTGTCTATACAGCCATTCTGTTATTTCAAAATAATTTCGAAATAGACTGGGAGACATTTTGCTGGCATTGACTGTCCACAGGCACCACACCCTGGAGCTCCCAGTAGGTTCAGTTCTCTGTTCCTAGCCAGTGGGAGCTTTGGGAAATGTTATCCTGCAGGTGAAGAGACCACAGGAATGTGATGGTCACTGTTTCCCACAGCTTCCATTGGCTGAGAACAGAGAACTGTGGTCACTGGGAGCTGTGGCGGATAGTACCTACAGATGGTCAACATCAGCAAAATGTCTTGCGGCATGTAGTCTGATTACCCTGATGGGCTGCAGGTTGCTCACCACTGTTCTTGAGTGATCATCATTTAGTTGTCGATGCTGCTAGCCTTTATAATTGCCTTATTCTATCTGTGTGCATTTACACTGCACTGTCTATGGTGTCTATAACTAGCCTTATTTCGAAATAACAATGCCCGTGTCTATACAGCCATTCTGTTATTTCAAAATAATTTCGAAATAACACATGGCTTATTCTGAAATATGTAAACCTCATTCTGTGAGGAATAACACCTATTCCAAAATAATTATTTTGAAATAAATCATGTGTAGGTGCTCCACTTCAGCTATTTCAGAATAGCCCCGCACCTGGGCCATTCTAAATTATTCTTCCCCAGGATCCCCTAGGGCTCTAAATTGAGGTGGCACATCTACAGTAGGGAAACCTGCCTCAGACTGATTTTGAGGCTTCCCTGAAGTGTAGACGTGCTATTTTGAAATAAGCTATTTTGGGAAAACTATTCTGGAATAGCTGATTTTGAAATAAGCTTGCAGTATAGACATACCCTTATAATTAACCTCACCTTCCTCCTCTTTTCCTGTCTATAGTTTGTTACATTCCCTAGACACACTTTGTCTTTGATTAGAGTGTAAGATTAAGGACCAAAACAATATATGTGTTTTACAGTTCCAAGCACAATGGGGCATTTGTATTGTGAACAGGGCATAGGGGAGAGCCTTTTTTTGTAATACTGTAATATTTATACGACACATAAAACATTATAAGACACTACATAATAGATAACATGAGAATAGATAAGCTTCAAGTGATTTTTGTTTGAGAACAGAATTTCAAATGTCCTCGGCATCCATTGTTGCACCTCGATTTTCAGAAGAACTAATCTCTCTTTAGTTACCTCAGTGAAGTGGGCAGATTTTCAGATTCTTCTTAATGGCAGATGTTTGGTGCTAAGTATTTTCCCAAATCTCATTTAGGTGCCTAAGTGGGAGATGAGGTTTGTTGAAAGGCTTTGTGTCGTTACGATGAAAATTCTTTTTCCTTTGAATTTGCTTAATGGCGTGTGGGATTTTTTTAAAATCAAAAGATGGCAAAATTATATCTAGAGTATTTGTGATTTTATGTTCACAATCTGATAAGTCTTTAATTTCCCTCATATTTCTCTTCTATTTTAGGCTATCATTATAATGATCTTGTATCTCCACAATACTTGAGCCTGATAGCTAATTTATCAGGCTGCACAGCCCATAGACGAGCAAATAACTGCTCAGATATGTGCTTTCACCAGAAGTACAGGACACATGATGGAACTTGCAATAACCTGCAGCATCCGATGTGGGGAGCCTCTCTGACAGCCTTTGAACGTTTGTTAAAATCAGTCTATGAAAATGGATTTAACTTGCCTAGGGGTATTGGACCAAATAGACACTATAATGGATACACACTTCCCATGCCTCGCTTGGTTTCAACATCTCTAATAGGAACTGAAACAATAACCCCTGATGATCAGTTTACTCACATGATAATGCAGTGGGGTCAGTTCCTTGATCATGACCTTGACTCCACAGTCGCTGCTCTAAGTGAAGCCAGGTTTTCTGATGGTCAGCACTGCAGTTCAGTTTGTACAAATGATCCACCTTGTTTCTCAATCATGATACCACCAAATGACCCACGAGTTAGAAATGGTGCACGGTGTATGTTTTTTGTACGCTCTAGTCCTGTTTGTGGAAGTGGCATGACATCTCTTCTAATGAATTCTGTTTATCCAAGAGAACAGATTAACCAGCTGACTTCATATATTGATGCATCCAATGTGTATGGCAGTTCAGACCATGAGTCACAAGAAATCAGAGACTTGGCAAGCCAAAGGGGTCTTCTGAGACAGGGCATTGTACAGCGATCTGGCAAGCCTCTTCTTCCATTTGCTACTGGTCCCCCAACAGAATGCATGAGAGATGAAAATGAGAGCCCAATTCCTTGCTTCTTAGCTGGAGATCATCGTGCTAATGAGCAATTGGGTCTCACCAGTATGCATACATTATGGTTTAGAGAGCACAACAGAATTGCTACAGAGTTACTGAAACTCAACCCACACTGGGACGGTGACACGATATATCATGAAACACGCAAAATTGTTGGTGCAGAAATGCAACATATAACATACAACCATTGGCTACCTAAGATCTTTGGAGAGGTAGGCATGAAGATGCTTGGCGAATATAAAGGTTATGATCCCAATGTTAATTCTGGCATAACTAATGAGTTTGCAACTGCCGCTTTTAGGTTTGGTCACACACTTATCAATCCCTTACTGTATCGGCTGGATGAAAACTTTGAACCTATTCTGCAAGGCCATATACCTCTTCATAAGGCATTCTTCTCTCCCTTTCGGATTGTAAATGAAGGAGGCATTGATCCACTTCTAAGGGGATTGTTTGGTGTTGCTGGTAAGATGCGAGTGCCATCACAGTTACTCAATACAGAATTGACAGAGAGACTCTTCTCCATGGCACGTACCGTGGCTTTAGATCTGGCAGCTATGAATATTCAGAGAGGCAGAGATCACGGAATTCCCCCCTACCATGATTTTAGAGTTTACTGTAATCTTTCTTCAGCTCATACTTTTGAAGATCTGAAAAATGAAATTAGGAATCCTGAAATCAGGGAGAAACTTAGCAGGTGAGCTTGAGGTGAAGGTGAACTGTCAAAAATTCAAAAGTACTTTTATATCTAAATGTGCATGTGAAAATAATGATTATTTAAATGTCTAACCTAGAAGAAAATATTTCTTAGGAAAGAGATAAAGGGAAACTCCCACAAAACTTCCTGCCAACATCAGGAAATGTGGTGGGCTCAAGGTTCCCTGATAACTGCGTAAACTATACAATGTCTTTTCCCCACTGAGACTTATACAGATCTGATTCCTTGACTCCTGTAGTTGTAGGAACACCATGAAGTTGAGCCCATCCAGAGAGCACATGTTCATGTATACACCAGTATATATTTTATTAATAATATTAAAAATTAAATAAATCATATTTAATACTGAAATCTTATGGTAATATTTATATCTTCAGTTTTACATCCCACACTTTGGATTAAGTGCATCTCTGTTCAGTAAGAGATTGCTATAGATGATTACATATCATGGGCTATGAATAGTTCATATCCATTGACCTTAATTTGTCATAATACTGAATACTTTATGTATGTATAATTTTAACATAACTATTTGTGTTTCTCTTGTTACAGGCTCTATGGTTCACCTCTGAATATAGATTTATTTCCTGCTCTTATGGTAGAAGATTTAGTTCCTGGTAGCCGATTGGGGCCAACTTTGATGTGTCTCTTAAGTACCCAGTTCAAACGTCTTCGAGATGGAGACAGGTAAAGCCAAAATGTTCATGGAAAACTTTAAGAGATTTTACCTTTTAAAAAAAAATTAAATTATTTAGTGACTTTTTTCAAATGCAACCTTTGTTTTCTTTTTCATTTATGATCTGAATATAGAAATGAAAGTAATAAAAAAGCTGATTTTAAAGTTTGTCAGAGCAACTGAAATAACAGCTGTACTTATTTATAATGTAGGTTGTGCCCATGAAACCTCATGATAATATATATATTTGTTAGTCTCTAAAGTGCTATAGGACTACTTGTTGTTTTTTCAAAGTTACAAACTAGCATGGCTACCTCTCTGAGGTAGCATTAGACACTTTGGATATGGCAGCACAATCAATGATGAACTTCACTGCCATGTAAAGGACTTCATAGTCACGGTCCTTAAGAGTACTGAAGGAGGTCCAGACAACTACTGTGATCCTCCCATTTTAAAGTTATTATGCAATAACTGATGAAGCCCCATGTGTCACGCTATGCCCACCTCCCCCCCCCCTTTTCTACCCTTCTGGGCGATTTGCCCAGCACTTAGAGTCCACCGTGGCGGAGTGGGGTGTCCGGGCCCACCCTCTCTCCGGACCCCAACCCAGGGCCCTAACGTCAGGAGAATGACTCCTGGTGGTAGCAGGCGGGGTGATGACCCCCAAACGCACTTGCTCTCGGGTTCCACGGCCTGCCCTGGGTCACTTCCACTCCGCCGGTTGGTTACCAGCGTGTGCCCTCTCGTCGGGCCCCCGCCTCCATACCTGTCCCTCCACGTTGTTCTGTCCTCCCTTCTGCCAGCTCGCCCTCTTTATCCCCCATTCTTTTGCTGGCGCCCTTTTCCCCCCTCACTTCCAGGCGTCCCTCCTCCTCTCTCCCGGGTGCGCCGGTGACATCACCGGCCCCTCCGGGCGCGTCCTTATGATGTGCCCGGTCTCCAGCTCCCTGCTGCGCCGGGGCAGCCCTGGCCACGGCGGCGGTTTCTCCACCGGCACCCGCGGCTTGTGTCGCCGAATAGGGACGGGGTTGCTTCACCCCGTCACACCATGTTCTATGAAAGATTAAAGAGCTACTGTGCATTCCTTGCTGGGTAATTACCAGCAGATAAAATGGAACATTCCTTGTGTCAGATCACACTAGATAAAGATTTTATGTCTTATTATATTTCACGAAGACCATCTGAACCACCAAGGAATGAATCAGGTTTCCAATGCACAGGCTCTCTTCCTTTGTTGCTGCACTTCAAGATCCACCTCATGGCAACAATGTTGACAGTGTCAATGAGAGCAATATAAAGCCTAAAGAGGAGCCATACTCTTCTTCCCACCTCCACTTCTTGCAATAACTTTTTTATTTTGAGAGGCTTGGAATTGGAATTGAAACCATTGGGTCTTAGAGATTAGTAATATTAATAATATTCATTTTCAGGCCCTTCCTACAAATCTTCAAAGACTCCTCTTACAAAAACTGTTAAAATAAGTAAAACCTCGTCTATCTCTATAAGATGGCAAAAGAGCCTGTGGAGTTAAAAGGGGAATGTATTCTGCTCCCATTATTTTATAATTCCTGAGAAGTAGAGAACAGGAATCCAATACTAGATTTGAGACAACTCAAACAACTTCATCTGCCATTTCAAATTCAGTTTAGTAACTCTAGCCTCTATAATTCCATCCTTTGAACCTCAAAACTGGTTCACTGCTCTCAGTTTACAAGACACGTACTTTCACACATATTCACCCAGCACATGGAAAAAAACTAAAATTCCAAGTGGCAGCTTCCCGCTACTAGTACAAAGTCTTTCTTATTTGTTTTGAATACCATGAGTATTCAGGAAGTGATTGCAAAGTTCATCTTCGGAGACCAGGGATCTAAATATGTCAATACGTTGAAAACAGGCTTATTTGAGGAAGATCATCATAGCAGGTAAACAATTCTGTTCACTTAGTCCTACATCTTTTCACCACACCGGATCTCAGAATCTACAAAGCATCACTGTCGCCAGCCCTGAAACTAGTATTCATCAGATTAGTGCTATGTTCCCATTACCAATGGCTAACCTGCCACAGGAGAGATTCAAGACCTCATCAATCAACTGTAGGATCACCCTAAGAGCATGTTTCCTACTTACACCACATACCATTTCAGATTTCATTAGTGTATCTTTCCAACAGACATCACATGGGCATGAGGGTATAGGTCCCTTGAGAAGTCTTCTGATTATTCAATTGGTGAAAAGACCCTTTCTATGAATGCATGGGAGTACTGACTTCTCCAGCAATATCTGTACCTACCTATTAAAATTTTGGCGAGAGATGTTTCCACACTTGAAGGAGACCAAAGGAGACCATCCTTTGTCTCAAACACAAGCTCACAGCACATGGACATGGAAAAATTATTGGAGTCCCCTGTCCACAGGCATATCTCAACATGTCCTGCAGACTCATAGGGATATAGACCCTGACTTCTCTCAGTGGGGTTCACTGTACAGCTAATTTGTAAATCTGACTTCTCCTTTAATGAGCCATTAAACAAGCTGGATAGTGCTGATTCGTACCTGTCTGGAAGTGTCACCCAGAAAAATGGCACAAGTTTGTGATACAGATATATCACACATATTTATAATTCATGAACTAATGATACATACTTATAAGCAAGATTATCATACTTAAAAAATCATACATTTTCCTCTGATATACCCATATACATTACAGTGTCACAAGGCCTCTGTACTGTCAAAGGGTATGTCTACACTACAAAGTTAGTTCGAACTAACGTCCGTCGAACTAACTTTCATAGGCTCTACACTAGCGCTCCGTTAGTTCGAATTTAATTCGAACTAACGGAGCGCTTAGTTCGAACTAGGAAAACCTCATTTTACGAGGATTAAGCCTAGTTTGAACTAGCTAGTTCGAATTAAGGGGTGTGTAGCCCCTTAATTCGAACTAGTGGGAGGCTAGCCCTCCCCAGGTTTCCCTGGTGGCCACTCTGGCCAACACCAGGGAAACTCTATGCCCCCCTCCCGGCCCCGGACCC